GCCAACACTACTGATGTCTGAGATATTTATTACTTTTGCCACAGCCATTTAAAGATTTCACTCCATTTTTCTATTAGAAATGCTCTGATGGCACAGGAGTCCTGACACATAAATTATGACAAACAGCTTCTCATCCATTCCCACAAAATCCACATCTCTTTCCTCTTCCCATCCATCATTAGCAACAAGCCCTTGTTTTCAAAATGTCTCACCACTTCCTTTCCTCACCAATCATCCCTGGCTCACAACCAAGCCAGACTCCATCCTTATCAGCCCAGAATACCCACTCCCACTGCTCTCTTATTTATTTTATGGCAATCACATGCCTCCTCCTTCCATACCCAGCCGCCTCCCAGGCCTGCAAGAAATTCCATGCAAACATTCATGATTCTAAATGATTCTACTTCAGCACTCTCTCTTATCTCTGACATGGAAGTAATGCTGGCATCCAGAGGAACACCACACTCGTCACCCTCGTGGGACTTTAGGCTTTAAAATAAATTTTCCAAAACAATAAAACAACCAAAAAAACCCCCAAAACCAAAAACAAACAAACAAACAAAAACCCACAAAACCAAACAAAAATAAAAACACAGAAAAGTGACAGAAAAATTTATACTGGAACCTTTGGAATTTTTCAGCTGTATCAAAATGCAGTTAATTTCATAGAGTTGCAACATTGTTCTTAAATAGAAGGACTGCAGCTTTAGTTTACAAATATAATGAAATTAAACCAGTTTTCAATTTTTAGCAGCAGTAGATGCATTTGGACTAGGCAGGAGCTTTTTCTCTTCTTTCTTATTTGTACAGAGTCAAACTCAATTTCTTCTCACTAATCTACAATATTCATGGATTTAAATATAGAATCCACACTTGCAGTAGTCTCATAACCTTTCGGGGGAAGTACTGTCCCTGTCCTCGAAGGCCAGAACTAATTTTGTGTTAAAATATTCTAAGTCTCCCTGGCTTATCCATTTCCCCCTACCAAACCCAAACATATCCATGCATTTCAATCAAGGAAAGGTCAAGATATCAAGCACAATGTGGCCCTACCTCAGGCTTCACAAATAGTTTGTGATAAATTTCATGTTATAACAATGCAAGTAAAAAAAAAAAAAAAAAAAAGAAGAATAAAAATAAAATCCATTAGTGACTTGGAAAGCTTCTTGCTACATAAAATAAATCCAATCAAGAAACAAAAAATGATTCCAGACACCATATGCCTCTGTCCTGACATTACTGAGAGCACTTTACAGAAAAAGCAGGTCGCATGTTGGAAGCTTTGTTTTCATTTTAAGTCTTCATGCAATTATTTCTCAATCATAACTGCAGTAGAAGGTGTGGGGGATTGTGGTTTCTGTATGCCCACACCCAGATTTTAAGTGGAAGCTCTCTCTTTCCAGCCTTGGTTGACTTCTTTGTACCTCTCATAAAAATTTCCTCTGACAAGAAAAGAAACAAACTGTACTCCAATGGTTATATTGCTTCTGAAAGAATACTGTACCTCAAGTTGCATAATAAGGTGACAAACCAGTGAAAGGACAAAAATAATAAAAAAAGAAAACATCATATTTACAATTATGACTTACTATAGTAAGCTATAGGATTTCACACTCAAGATTCACCCAGGCTTGAGGAAAATACAGAAGAAAAAAAACCAGACACAATTATCAATAGCATTTTCTATAGAACCAAAGATACAAGACAACTCCATTCTAGTAAGGTGCCCTGACCTACAGCTTCCATCTTGCTTTCTCAGTGAAGATCATGAAGTGAATATTTACCATGCCATGCCCCTCATCGTTGCCCAATAGTCTCTGGGCTACCTGGGAGCCCTTCCAGGGACTAACAATCTTATGTCCAAAAGCTTTCTCCCAAAATTTTACCCAAGAATCAAACTGTGCCTCCAAATCCTGAGGAGGACACTCTGGTGAAATGTCCAGAGAAGAAGCAGGGCCTCCCACAGGAGGGTTAAAAGGCAGCAGGCCCTCAGGAAAGCATCCCTATTTCCATTTTGTATCAGGAACCTCCCAAGAGGGGCACACATGGGTCTACAGAAATTTCTACCTCACTTGGGAATCCATGCATCAAGAAAAACACTTCAAACAAAGGGAAGGAACTGTCAAAGAAATCAAATCTTATCACATTTTCCTTTCTACCTTCCTAGATGTTAATGGATAGGAAGTTACTCCATGTGCCATCTCCTCTTCCACCCAAAAATCTGGCAGTAACAAAACCTGCCCTGCTCTCCTCTGCTCATTTTTCACAATGTACAAATCCAACAATGCAACTCACCTGCCCACACACACTTCACTGTAAAATTTGCACTCTTTGCAGCCTGTTAAATCTCTTCCACACTCAGGTTGGGTTGGCCTGAAAGGCCCTCATTCTTACCCTCACCTCAGTTACACAGAGCAAAATATTTTCTCAAACAACCAAGTATATTGGCTAGAAGCCTTCCTTAACTGAGAGCACAGTTCAAAAGTTTAAACTGTTTAAACTGTTTGGATTTTTTAAGATTTGTTTTAGGTGCAAATTCTGCTACCAGATTTAAATTCCAGGGTAGGTTTGTGAGGGGGAGTTCAGAACTCCCTCCCCTCTAAAATAAACCACACTGCCTCAGAACACCTTCAAGGGTTTCAATCACCTCCTAAGACTGTCACAAGCAAAGCAAGCAACTACCAAATTGCAGCTAAAGAGAAATCACAGAAACAACCTCTTCCCCACACTCCAGGCTCCCATACTCAAAAACCTTTTCTCAAGCAGCAGTTCTCCTCAGCCAGCCGCCTCTGAGAGCATCAAGGCTCCTTCCCACCCCATCATCCCTCCCAGGCCCAGGTGCTGCTTCTTCCCCACCCTTCTCAGCCTCTACCCAACTCCTGCTGCATCTGCTGCCTTTGCTGGGACTGCTCCCAGGAGAAAGGCACAGGAACACTCCAGCCAGAAAGCATTTCCCCATCTCTCTGCAAGCCCCAAAAGGGTCTCATCTCCTACCAGCGCAGCAGCCCTCCCAGCTGGGAGCTACCACTTTCTGTCTGGCCCTGCTTTTCCTCTCTCTGCAGATCTCATCTCCAAATAGGAATATGATTCTTTGCATTTTATTAGTAATAGTCCAAGGAAATTTGAAGACAGACAAGTTGTAAATTTTAACAGTTTGTCACCAGTTATTAATACTTGAAATGTTCAAAGTACAAACAAATGCCAATATATCTAATGGTTTGCCAACTATATTCATAGTATATTTATATATTCATATATTCATCTTATGGCAATAATGAAATTCATTCTACACAAACTCTCAGATTAAGCTAAGGAGTAGTTTCTCCTCAGTAATTTTTACTCCTTAGAGTAAAAATTCTTTTCCATTTTCAGTGCTGATGAAATTAATAGCTTTCATGCAGATAAATTAAGTGTACATCTAAGTTCAACTTAGTTTTCCTAAAGAGCGGCAAGTACCTGAGAAGAAACTCAGCTAGAACAAAATCTTCACAGAAACAAAAAAATTGCAGTTTTGATTTTCTTTAAATAGACAAAAATAATAACTAGGATTCTTTTCCAAGATGACACTAGATAGCAGCTCCAAATATTTTCATCCACAAAATCTATTTATTATTCTCTGTCTTCTCTTTCCACAAACAGTCCAAGATTTTCCATTTCTGAGACTTCAAATTAAAGACTTTCATATGGCTAGTTTCAGTCATGAAGGTTCAAAAATAGTGTAAATGCAGAACAATATAAAGACCGTAAATCTAAATGTACATTATTTGCATCAAGTATACAACAAAAAGCTTACCCACAGTAATCAAGAAAATTAAGAGTAGGTCTTTATTAAAACACAGTCAGAACCAGGAAATTAGAACTGTATTGCTTCTTGTATCTCTGCTTACTACAGGAAAGGATCACAAGTGATTATTTGTTCAGATTTCTGTTTTGCTCTAAAGTAGGCCAGCCAGCTCAGCACTTTTCTTAAGATTATGAATACTTGTCTGCCCTACATATGGTTTAGGCTGAAACCAATCAGTTGAGCTGAAACACGTAGCAAAACCGACTATTTTCACATCATTAATTTTCAGCTCTAGTGAAGAAGTGCTCAGAACAGGTATAAAAGGATCAGATTTTAAATACTTTTAAAATTTGCTCTACCACTAGCACGGTTCACTAAGGAGCTCACTGATTTCCTCACTCTCAGATTAACACTTCATCTCGATTCAAGAATAATTTGTTGTTCATTAATAACTCTTTAACCACTTGTTTTCTCTGCTAGTTTCCAGTTTATTTTTTTACATTGATTAACTCATTTAGTAGGAAAACCGAGTGCTGAACTGCATCCAGTAGACTTTCATATTACTACAACATTCAAGATGCAAGCACGCTCTGCAAGAAGCCTTATATCAAAACTTTAAAAACGTATGAAACAAAAGAATTCCTTGAATTTTTAAGTGAATACTGAATTTTTAACTGAATTGGTTGCTCTTTCTCCCCCACACAAGCTACCCTTGAGACTTTTGTCGTTATTTGGAGGAAAGGGGGTTAAAGGAAGGTTGCTATCTTGAGTTCAAAATAGAAAATAGTGACGTCTTCAAACAAACTGGGCTATTTGGAAGATCAGAACTGCAGAAAGTGCTTTGCTTAAATTGCTTTTAACTTATTTTTCTTAAAAGTTACATAGTCCCTTTTTCTAGAGCTGCTAAGCCCACATAGACTCTATGAAGTCATTATCTTCAAAATATAAGTTAATAATGGAAAAAAAAAACCTTTCATATTTGGGTTTTCCTTTTCCATTTAAGATATAAACATTATCAAGTCATTAGTATGACATTTCTGTCAGATTAACACCACTCAAAACTCTTGGCAGGTATCAGTAGCAAGGCAAAACAAAACAAAACAAAACAAAACCAAAAAATAAGCTACAAAGCAAGCTTGTTTAAAACAAAGACAGGTATTTCTATTTAGTATTCTGATGTATGAGACAGTATTTTTGCACCAGGGCAGAAGCATACCTTTCATCAGCTGCAGAACCCTGGTGTCAGATGGTGATATAATCCAAATGGGTCTCAGAAGCATGTTCCAGAATATCCACAAGTTTCAGCATGGGGCTCTTCCATTCCCCCAGGAGACCATTAACCATTCATTAACCATTACAATGAATCCAAACAGCTGAGATGTTAAGCAGCTGTATGGTCCAGCTTGAACCACGGTAGGCAGCCCTGAGGAATCCCAAGCTGTATTCCACCATCCAAAGAGCAATGCAATATGGCACCCATCACAGACTGATGTTCTGGCAACCATCCCATTTTCCCAACAATCCTGTTGTGACCTGTTCAAAAATGAGGAAGAAGTGTTAGTTCAGCACAGTAACTCTGCTATGTGACTCGGGTACTAACATACAAATATAAAGTTACGTTCTTCTGAATAATTTCAAACACAAATTTCTTCACAGATTTAGACACATCCTAAACTCAAAGCCTGGTGATGGCATTTTGTTTTAAAAACATCATGGGGCTGGAGTGTAAGAGAAGAGGGTTTAAGAAAAAGGCTTTCATATATCTCTACAGATTGCACAGTCTTACCTTGCAGAAAGCACTGAAGTGACAGGGAAAAAAAAAAAGGTAATATAAAGGCTCTTCAACTGCCCTGGCAGGTATTTAAAAACTAATGAAAAGAGTAAGTCAATTAGAAAAACCCCAAGTAACAAAAATAAAACTCATCAACCCATTTGAGGGAAACATAAGTGATCTTCTCTGCCTCCTTAGCTCCGTTGCAGTGCCTCCCCAGAGCACCTCCACCAGCAGATGTGTACTTCAGCTGGGACCTAAACTTTGAGAACTACTGGTGCCATTTGGCCCTGGAAGTGGGCAAAGCAGCCCAACTCACATCAGTCTGCTCTGGTAGCCCCTCTGTACAATTCCTCCAGAGATGCAAAAAGAAAATTTGACTTAGGTTGGGAAGGGGACTATGAGGAATGGAGAGAAAAGTTTGAATAGTTTGCAGAGGAGGGAACAATGACATGAAGAACAGCGTTGGGTCTGTGAAGATGGAGTAGGGGAAAGGGAAAAGAACAACTTCCACACTAAGGACAATGGAGAGGAACTTTTAGAGAGAAGCTTTTAGAGACTGGAAGATGCATGAAAGACAAAGATGAGAAGAAAGGAGAAAATGAACATTTACGAACAAGAATTATTACTAGGAGGTCTGTCTGCATAACTGGGTAACATGGATGTAGGGCAGTCCACAGAAGAATAAGTTTAGGAGAGAACAAGAAGAAGATTCATGTTTGCTTCATATCAGGAGAAATGAGCATTTCTACTCATGGAGGAAAGGAAAGATCCTGGCAGAAGGAATTTTTCATGAGAAATGCAAGTATAAAGGTAGAAGAGTAGGTGGGAAGAGATTAAGGAGGAGGAGAATGAATAAGAATAAAAAGTAAAAAGTAGACTTCAGAAATTCTGAAATGGGTAGATCTAAGGAGAGAGGGGGACAATTAGGAAATTGGGACAAGAAAACACAAGAAAGTAGAGGACTAGGATGAAAAAGGAGAAAAATGGAAGACTTATTACATAGCACAGAAAAAGAAGATGGGAGAATAATAAGATACTAAATTGATCCCGATAATTCAGAAAAGTACAAAGAGCTCAAAGTAAGTTTTGTGGAGTTGCGATGCTTGCTCTAGAAAGCGTGAACCAAAAGGAATGGAACAAAACCCAAGGCAACTATCGCCTTTCCAAAGGGACGAAGGGAACTGAAGCCCAGCCGAGAAAGGGCCAGCCTGGACCGACCCTTCCCACTCTCCCTTCGCCACGATCAATGCAGTCGGGAGAACAAAGTCTTCCCTCTGGTCCGTTCCTCTTCTCCAAAAATTGTCCCTCGGCACTTCTGTCCACCTTGGCTCCCTGGGATGGTCCCACAGCCACAAAGTGTCACCCTCTGTGGTGTCTCGGGCCAGCGACCCAAGCTGGCACACGGAGGAGCGCCCACCTTGCCCTGCTGCGCGCTCCCTGCCCAGCCCGGTCCCACGGCCCTCGCCAGCCCCCATTCCCTGGCCAGCGCCGCCAGGACTCCCTACGATCCCACCAAGTTTTCCCCGTCTTCAGCTTTTCTCTGTCCCAACTCTTAAAAACACAGCCCGATCCAGAAAGCCGTCAGAGTCCGTTTCACTCCCCACCAAAAAAAAAAAGAAAAAAAATTAAACCTCTACAATAAAACAAAGCCGGCACAAGAAGGAGGCAAGCCCCCAGACCGACTAGTGCCCCCCAGCCCGCATTAGGGCAGTTGGGGCGGAATGACTGCCTTACCCTCCTCAAAAATACCTGCATATGCTCCCAAAAGTACAAAGGGAAGGCTGGGCTGGCCCGCGGACGCCTCCGCTGCGCTCCCAGACCCGGGCGCGGATGGCAGGGCGGAGGGGGGAGCGACGAGGGAGCCGGGAAAGAACAATAAACCCCAAGTCCAAACGTACCTTCTCCTTTCTCTAAACTGTGAAACCAGATTTCCTTAGAAGCCTACGGCGGGGCTCTTAGCTTTTAAGCGGCGGGAGAGCTCGAAGAAAGTTGAGCAAATCTCTTCCGATGAAGTTGCCGAAGATGAGTTAAGCCGGGAGAGGCGAGCAGGAGATGGAGAGTTCATCCGAGTTTCTCCTTTTGTTCAAGTTGCCCGAGCAGACAAAGAGCCGGCAGCGGCGGCAGGTCCCCCGCTCCCCCCGCGGCCCGGGCGCCGCCGGGGTCCCGCACTGCCCTCGCCCCCCGCCTCCTCCCACCGCCGCAACTTTCCGTCTGCTCCATCCCTCCTCAGCCCGAGCCCGGCTCCGGCGCTAAACTTCCCTCGAACTGAACCTCCCAGAAAAAGAAAACAATTTAATTCAAGGCGGGGGAGTGGGGGGTGGAAAGGGAGAGAACCATCTCTCAAATCATTATTTCCGGTAGATGCACCTCTTTGTTTGGATTCCCCCGACTGTCAGTGAGGACAAGCCTCTGGAGATCTGCTCTCGGACAGTTTGATCTGCCGGAATGAGACGGGCAAACGAAGGACATAAAGAAAAATAACTTTCAAAGAAAGAAAAGCGGGGGGAAAAGTAAATAGAAAACAATATAAAACTCCGGAGTTGCGAAACGAACCCGTTTTTCATGGACACGGGAAGTACATAAATAAACAACTGAAGGGGAATTTCGGAAAACTGTTGGTTCTCCTCCCCTTCCCCTTCGCACTTTTCCAGAGAACGTAACAAAAAAAGCCCCCCGAAACCTCCTGGCCGCGGCTCCGTGCCGCCGCCGCCAGCTCCTGGCATCCCTACCTGTTGCGTAAAGCGCAAAGATGGGGCCGACCGCATCCGTCCCAAAGAAACCCAACGGGAATGAGGGGACCTCCCGCCCCCCACGGCCCCTCCACCTGCCCTGGGGCAGCCCCCACGGGACACCGGGCCCGGGGGCGGCCGCAGCCCCGGCGGAAGGCGCAGCCCCGCTCCCTGCCCGGCCCCGCTCCGGGCGGCCGTCGGGGCGCCCCGGTCCCCGCCGAAAGTTTGGCGGGGCGGGGCCGGACTGCGCCGCGGCCTCGCACCGAGACAAAAGGAGCCCGGAGCAGCGCTGCAGCTCACCTTGGAGGGACAGAGGGAGGCTCAAGAGACACCTTCCGCCTCAGCCCTCCTCCTCCTCCTTCCCATCCCCGGCCCTGCGAGACGGGCTCACGCTGGGCACCGGAGGGCGATCCCGGCTCAGCCCCGCCAAGTGTCCGCTCCCCGCGCTGAACAAAGCGGGGACAGCGGCCCTGCCGCCCCCGCCCCGCCTGCCCCCGCTGTTCGTAACTTTTGGTGCCCACCTGGCATCCCGGCCGCTCGGGAAGGGCGGCGGTGCGCCCGGAGCGGGACCCGCACGTCGGGGCAGCGGGCCCGGGGCTGTCGCCGGGTGTCGCTGGGTGGGGGGGCCACGACACGGACCCGCTGCTCATGGTCTGCCCCAGGGTGGGCCCGTGGCAGGGCGGCCCGGAGGGTGCGTGGGAGTCCTGTGAGTTTGTGCTCTCCGTGCGCGCAGTGGGCACGGGTGCAGAGGCTCCAGCCCTCAGGACCTTGCCTAGCAGGCCTGAAAGATGCCCCCAGCGCTGCTTACTTTATTTTCTTTTCTCTTTCTGGTTTGTTTGTTTGTTTTTGTGTTGATTTGGTTTGGTTGTTGGGCTTTTTTCCTGTTTGTTTTGGTTTGGTTTGGGGTTTTTTTTGCCTTAGAAACAAGCGGAACCTTGGAAAAGTTACTAGGAAATGGTAGTTAATAGCAGCCCACACCCAACATGGTAGGGCTAGTTTTTCAAAGTCAGATAACAGAGGATGATCTTGAGATGCGGGGTTTTTTACAGAAGGGATAAGAGAATGGAAAGGCACACGATTTAGCCTTTGGTTAAGTTGTCCTGTTGACAACTTCTACAGTCCCTGCTGACCATGACTATTTTCCTTCAGTTCATGTTCATTTCATGTCAACAATCCCCCAGCTCATCCTTCTTCCAGCTCCTTTCCCCCTCCCCATCTTCCCTAGCTTTGAGACTCATTCAAACCTTTTCCTCCTACCCAATGATGCCAGCCTCAAAATTTTGTTCTTCAAGTCATTTTGCAGCTCCCCACCCAGGATCAACCTTTTTATCCTCATGCCCCAGAGAAACTGCCCCCAGCTCTTCCATTGCTGTCTGTGATTTTTGTTGCTCTTGAGCATTGTCTTCCTATGTTCTGCTGCAATGTGCACTGCTGTTGGTTTTCATAACAGATTTCTGTGGTGAAATGATAATACATAGAGTGTAATACCTGGCATGAGAAGTCATCCTTGTAGTCATTCTTTACCACTCATCTTCTTCAGCTCTTCTGCATTGAGTGCTCTCGAGCAACTATCATAATACCTTAAAAATCTCCTCCTAAATTATTTTCTATGCACTGTTTCTCCCCTCCATCCATTTCTGACTTTCCACAGGTTTTTATTCTCTCCATCTACACTATTTCTATGGTTGTTTTGTCCATGTTTTTCTTTCCACCTCTGCACTTTTGTTTCCTTAATCCTTTGGTTTTATGGTGGAAGAGGAACGTTGACTGCAGCTTTCCTTACTTCCACCCTTATTTTCTCTGATTTTCACAAACACTCTCTTAGCAGGGCACAGTGAAGTCCAGCAAACACATACTCTTCTGCTAACACATTTTTTTTCTGTATTTCTTTCACAGATGATTCCCAGATCCAGTGGAACACAGTCCTGTTGCTTGCTGGTTGTTCATTATGGCACAACCTGCAAACATCTTACAAAGGGCTGCTCTTGGTGGCTCTCTCTGGAAAAACACAAATTGCACAAGTAACTCCTTGTGCCGTGGGGTTTTGTCTTTGGCAGACATCAATGGCATGTTGCATTAAGGTACAACTTGCTGAGAATTTGTGAAGATGTTGACTTGCCCCATGGTCTGCCAGCTGAGTTGGAGTTTGTGGGGCAGGTAAATATGAACACCCTTGTGCCCTTCTTTTCTTTCCTTGGAACCAGGAGGCCAAAAGCTTCTAAAAATACATATACATTTTAATTCTCTGGTATTGGTGCTATTTAAACAAAGTGTGTGTCTGCCTTATAACTTCATTATTAGTGATAAAAGTTACTAATCATTGGATCAGAGATCACCAGTTGCCTAGGGTCCCACAATCAATACACATAAAGAGAGGAGAGTTACCACTGAAAATATCTTGTGGAGACCTAACTGAGCAAGGATGAGAAAAACAGAAAAATTGTCAGAAAGGACAAAAATGTCAGAAACATTTCAACAAAATCTTTTGTGTCTTAGAGAAGGGCTTATTTGATGGGTAAGTGGCCATCTGCCATTGAGACAATAAAATATCGTTGAAATTCCCTTGTGGTTCATTGGGCAGGTAAAGAGAAGCATTAAGCAGTAAAAAGGAATACATAAGAGGCAATAAAAAAGGAGCAGTTTATGATAATTAACATGAAGTAGAAATTATATAATGTAGAACATTATTCGGAAAAGTCAAAAACATTACATAAAAATCCACATCTTGAATGGATGAAATTAAAATAATTTTACAGTAAGTGAGGAATGAAGCATCTCCTAATAATGTTCATAGGCCTTTCAGTTCTAATTATGAGGAAAAAAAATTCTCCGAATGATACTTGTGCTGTGTAAGTGGGAAGATAAATATTGCACACAGAAAGTAACCTATTTTTTGGTCTTTGGGCAGCATCTATCTCCAATAAACATTGAATCCTTAGCCCCAGATGCCTTGCACCCTAACATCAAAATCTACTTGATACTTTATGTCACAGCAATGTTCAGTTTAATAAATCCTCGAATGGGAACCTATTTCTAATATTGTGCCAGTATGAAAAAGGGGCAAACAGAAAGACACAGATTACAATACTCCATTTTGCCTGACATTCATCCCTTAAAAAATAGTGAAAGCCTGACATAGGACTACATTCAAGGAGAACTAAGGATAAGAATAATGATTCTAAAGCACTGCTCCTTTATCTTTAATTCCTTTTATTGCCTTTGTTTTTAAATTTCATAGTGGGTATAGGGTGGGTTGGAATACAGATCTAGTGACAGCTCCACATGCTGACTGATCTGGCTTGAAGAAAGCAGTGAAGAAATTTCTCATGGAGTGCCAATATTTAAACATTTCCAAATGACAGTGATCTTGTATTTCATCTGATAATAGGAACAACTGGCCTGTACTACCTGTGTTTAATTTCTAAATCCTTGATTCCCACACTGCATAGCCACATTTTTCTTAATTCTTTCAGCTATCTGGTTTCTTTCTATCTCCATCTGACTTTTACTCTGCTTCCCAAGCCTCCTCAAGAAAAGGCTTTACCAAAATTAACTCTAGACATAATTTCAGGACTTTTAAGATCACAAAAGTTCATCAAATCATCCTATAAAAGGTCAAACTTTTTTCCTTGGCAAATGAGACAGGAAACATAATCCAGTTTCTCCTGTATTTATTCTGGCTGTCCATATTCCAGAGAAGTGTCCCATTTTGCCAAAATATTTAGTCAACACAGTCAACCACTTTTATTAAGAACAAAACCAACTATAACTGTAGCTGTTAAAAAAAGAAAACAACAAAACAAAAACCAAAAGGTCTGGACTTCATTTTAAAACAAAATTTGTTTGGCTTTAGTTTCTAGTTACTTTTTAAATTTATTTCATGTCTCGCCACCACATTAAATTAGTGTACAGGTAATTTTATAAATGGGGGCCTGAAAGCAGCGCTGGCTGCACAGGACAGGAAACCTTCCTGCAGAGATAATGTACTTACAGGATTGTTTTAATCTCTTTGAGGGATTACTTACATTAACTTGTTGCGGTTCCATTACATTTACCAAGAAAACATACATTTGCTTGAAGTTTGCCAGCTGAGGGGGCTTCTGGGGCTGTGGCACTCACTCAGCATTTGTTTGCCACACTGAGGGCAATGGCCATTTGGAAGCACAGTCGGTGCCAAGCAGTGATGTGAAGGCTGGAGCTCCCCAAGCCCTGTATTTTGTGTGGCTGCTGTAAGCACCTACCATGCAGACCAAAATGAAGAGCAGCCCAGCCTGCAGCAGGGAGCTGGCTGCTGGTTATGTCTCACTCCCATCACCACAGAGCACCCCAGAAGAGGGGGGTTGGTTTCAGTTCTTTCTATTTCAACACATCAGTATTA